CATTCATCAAGGAATAACAAGTGTAATATCCACTAAAGCAAAGCTTAAGTATATAACACCAACAAAAACAGGGTATTACAGTCTATCAACCTTACAAAGAATTTCGTCCTCGGAATTCGATAACTAAAACATCTAGAATACAAGGGAGACATCAACACAAGGTGTTCGGTACTCCCTCCGAATCTCGCTTTCCTCTCTTCCAAGTCACCTCGCCCTCGACTTGGTCGGGAGTCATATTGAACAGAAATAACCTGGCCGTAGCCTCCTCTCTTACTACGAAGCTCCCCACTTCACGTGTACAATAATGCAATTTAGCACAATAACTCCTAAAGGCAAAACCTCGAAAGTTGCCTCACTTCATTAGTCCTCCAAAGAAGACTTAGGTCAATACGATACACATGAAAAATTTCCGAAATCGATATGAATTTACACGCTAGAGACTTGGCAGCTGTGGCATGAACGGCTGGCCTGGCATGCGGCAACGCGGCATGCTACATGTAGCACACTACGCACGGCACTTCCTACGACTCGAGATGCATCACAGAGCGTGGCACGCCTGTGCGCGGCACCAACACGCAGTACACCTGCACCGCCCGCATCCAGTAGCTACGGTTCATTCCTCATTGGCTGTTACATCTCCCCGTGTTGATACGTACTCGAAAATCGGAAATCCCCTAGTGCTTTGCGACCCTAATCCCAATTTCAATATCCAAGTACTCCGACTTTGCTGTCAAGGTACTCGTACTTCTTCATGAGTCAATTAGCTGATTACTCACAATGTTTCTCATAACTCCCAATTAGCTGATTACTCACAATGTTTCTCATAACTCCTTGGCTATCCTCCTTAAAAGACTTCTTCTCGATCAGGTAGGCAAAGACTTTCTCGTACGATCCTCCGACATGATGCTCCATCCGTTCACAAAAAGATGATTGAATTATGCCTGTCACTAGGCCCAGGTGTTCTCAAGAGTTGCAACATTATTCTCCCTCTTGAACCTTTCGCATTGTCTTAAAGATGTCATTA